CAGGAAAAGCGCCCAGCTGGGCTCTCGTACGAGGCCGCAGCCCCCGCGTGTCTGACCCTCACCCCACCGGGCTCTGGGCCACCAAAATCCCAGCGAGGGCCCCCGGGGGGCTCCGAGCCCCTCGCACCCTGCCCTGCACCGTGCCTCGCTCGGGATGCCGGCGGCCGGTCCCTTTCCTGTTTGTGCCACAGGAAAACCACATCGCTCCAAAAGGAATCACCGTGCTGGGGCTGCTGGCAGCCCACGGTGGCCCGCCAGTTTCTCTCTGGCTCGTACGGGGGGCCAGGAGCTCTCCTGCAGCCCGCTGGATGTGGAGCAGCGACAGGGACACCCCCTGTGCCATCGCCATCCTGCTCATTTTGGGCCAGGTGTCACCCGGCCCGGCACAGCTTTCCCTGGGGCTCTCGCTGCTCAGGCAGCAGCTCCTCACTCCCACTCAGGGCTGGCTAAAAATAACCCCTTGGCAGAGCTGCAGCCCGGATCCTGCGGAGAAACATCCAGGGAATGCCGAGGGATGAGGCTGCTCCCCGCAGGGCTGAGACTGGGTCTCTACCCCAGCACCCTGCGGGCTCGGCTGCCACTGGGCTCTGCCCCATCAGGGCAGCACCCGGGGGTGATTTTTCACAGTTCCCAGCTCTGCCAAAGTGGTTTTGGGGCAATTTGGGGCTGGGATGTGTCTTTTGACAGGTAAAATAATCCCTGTCTGCTGCCAGAGATGGGAGCAGAGTGGAGAGGGAGCAGCTGTCGCTGTGTACAGCGAGGTGTGAGCTGCACATCCCCTGTCCTTGTTTTCCACATTCTCCTTGCCGAGGTGGCTTCCGTGCAGCCAGCCCAGCTGCAAAGCCCGGGATCCGGCTGTCCTGACAGCCAGGACCTGCTGTCCCCTCCCCAGCACCCTGCACGAGTGTGTGATGTCCCCCGAGGCAGCGCAGGGGACATTTGTGACCTCACAGGGTGGCTAAAGGGGGACAGCAAATATCCATTCCTGAGATATTGGGGTGGAGAAAAGCTCCAGGTGTGCTGGAAGCACACACAGGGCAGCTCTGGAGGGGGTGTCAGGGGGCCCAGGGGTGTGAAGCTGGGCCAGAGTGACCCCAAAAACTGCACTGACATCCCCATTTGCACTGACCTTGCACAGATCAGGCTCAAACCCAGCTGGGGACAGAGCACAGCTGCCTCCAGCAGCCTCGGAGGGTGGGGGCGAGGACTGGGTGGAAAATCCCTCATTTGTCAGCGTATTCCCACAGCCTGTCTAGACCAACTTCCCGTTGTCCGGTGGAAGCTGCCCCGTGCCCATGCTGGGGGTGCAGAGCCCAGCATCCCTCTGTCCTGTCCTGCTGTGGCCACTTCTGTCCCTGTTGAGGGTCACCCCAGGGCGCTGGGGCTGCATGGACGGGCCCTCCTGTCCGACTCAGACCTGGCTGCCTCTGGGTGGGCTCCGTGCCAGCCCCTTCCCCATCCTGTGCCAGCCCGGTGAGCTCTCACACACACCAACCCCTTTATTGTTGTGCCACAGCGGCGGCGAACGCTGGGGGAGTGGAGACATGGGGGGCCCAAGACCCCACTGCCAGGACAAACCCCACAAACCACCAGGGGAGGGGGTCCCCAGAGCCAGCTGGGCTAGAGCCAGCCTGCAGAGGTGAGCCTGGTGCTCAGGAGAGGACCTGGGAGGGCTCCCTGAGATGGGGAGGGGTCACACTAAGCTTGGAGGGGAGGGGAGAGCTGGAGTGAGTCCAGCCTGACCTTGGGGTTGGCAGAGCTGGACCTCAGGCTGGATGGGGTCAGTCCAAACCTTGTGCTGCTCCAAAACCTGAGCACACAGGGAGCCTCACAGACCCCCCATTTCTGGGCCTTTGAGGGTCTTACAGAGCCATATCCTGGAGCCAGGAAAGCTCCTGCCCACCTCAGCCTCTCAGAACACACACTGCCAGTGCTGTCTCCTGCGGGGACACCTCCATGGGCACAGGGAGCACCAGGCTGCCCATCCTCCCTGTGACGCAGATCCCACGGGACATTTCCCCACTGCCTGGGCAGGGAGGTGAAGGGGGGTCAGTGATGAAGGAGCTGGAGAGCAGATGTGACTATTGGGAAGCAGGGAGCCAAATTCCCAGCTGTGCCCCCTGGGTGCCAAGCCTCGCTGCTGAGGGGATTGTCCTGTGCGGAGGGCTCAGGCCTCGTGGTCGCTGGTGCTCAGGTGCTCCTCAGGCAGCCCGGTCTCGTCGATGTTTTCCAGGGAATCCGCGTGCTGCACGGAGAGCTCGGCCAGGCTGACGCTGGGCAGCGTGTTCTGCTCGGGGTACACCCAGGGCTTGTACTCAGGGTCGTGCCGGCGCTTCCACTCTGGGTACTTCAGCCCAGCCTTGTAGATCTTCTTCATCGCCTGTGGGCACAGCGGGGCTGGGGCTGGGGCGCCCTGGGCTGTGAGCACAGCTCCCAGCTCCCCCATTGCAGATTTTGGGGTGTTGGGAGGGGATGAGGGCCTGGCTGCCCCAGGAACGCGCCCAGTGTGTGCTCTATGTCACCCAGAGCTCACCCTGGGAGCCCTGCATCACCCAGAGCTCACCCTGGGAGCCCTGCATCACCCAGAGCTCACCCTGGGAGCCCTGCATCACTCAGCACCCATCCCAGGAGCCCTGCATCCCAGTCCTGTGAGCCTTGGATTACTCAGGACTCGTCTTGTGAGCTCTGGGCCATCCAGGACCTGTTCTCTGAACTCTGCATCTCCCAGCACCTGTCCCATGAGTTCTGGGCCTTCCAGCATCCATCCTCAGTGCCCTGGGTCATCCAGCACCCACCCTGTGGGCCCTGGGTCACCCATCCTGGCCCCAGCCAGGGGAAATTTGGGCAGCTCATCCCTGCTGCCCATGACGCCCACCACTGGCCATGTGTCCCCCTCCTTACCTTCGGTGCCACGAACTGGGACACGCGGTTCACCACCCACTTTGGCAGCGACCCTGCAAGAGCCCAAATCCCTCATCACTGGGAGAAGCAGGGCCAGCCCCAGGGGAGGCACCAGGAGCCCGCAGCACCCCCAGGGCTGGGGTGGGCACCCCTTCCTCCCATTCCCGGGTGCCTGGGTGATGGAGAGCCAGGGGGGTGAGCTCTGATCTCCCCTCCTGCGGGCACTCACCACGAGGGTCCACCTGGGTGAGGTAATAGAGGATGCAGGCACCGTCCCCGTTGGCCTTGATCAGGTACCCGGTCTGCAGGGACACCGCCCTCACAAAATCCTTCCTCGGCGGGTATTTCTGCGGAGAGATTCCAGGGTCCTCAGAGCCTGCCCTGCCCTGCCCGTGCCGCGGGCAGCCCTGCCAGGGCTGGGGGCAGCCGGGGGCTCACCGGGTGCTTGACGCTGTAGTTGATGATCATGTAGTCATTGCCCAGGGGCAGCCAGGAGCGCAGCGTGACGAAATCCCGGTTCTTCAAGGGGCTCGGGCACTTCCCTGCGGGCACATCCTGTTAACCCCAGCCCCCCCCGCACACCCACGGGGGCCTGGGGCTGGGCAGGGGGTTCCCGGGGGTCTCAGGGGCTGCTCACAGGAGTAGTATCCAACATCAGCGTTGACGGTGAGGCGGCCGATGTCGTAGGTCTCGATCATGTTGGAGTCCCACTTCTTGCGGTAGCGGGTGTCGTGCAGCACGTCATAGAGGGTCTCGGCAGGAACGTCCTTGCAGGAGATGCGGGTCTGTGGGGAGAGGGGCGGGGGGCAGCAGCCATCCCCGGAGCTGCTCCCACCTCAGGGACGAGGACTTCGGGCTGTCCCCTGCCCATGGAGGATGCTCTGGCACATGTGATACAGGACAGCCCCGGAGCCACCGCTCCTGCAGCCGAGCGGGGCCAGAACGACCCTCTGCCCTCAAACAGATGGTCCCGGTGGCCAAAGGACACAGGCTCTGATGATTTGTGGTACCCAATACAGCAGCTGGCACTTGGACATCCCTCGGTACCCAGAGGAGAGGGAGTTCCCTTGTCCCAGAGAGCTCTTGGCAAAAAGAAAAGAGTATAGGAAAATGCCACAGGCTGCAGGGATCAGCTGTAGGACATGGCCAGGGATGGGCACTGACCACCAGCTTTCAGCAAACACCTTAATCCCCCACCCTTTCCCTTCCTGGGGTCCTTTCTTAAACGTCCCATGGGAAATTCTGCACATTCCCCAAACCCTTTTTGGATTCCATCACGAATCTCAGACCCTGAGGCAGAAACCCCCATGCTCAGCTGGCAAGGTCACACAGGAAAGCTCCGCCACTGCCCGCCTTTGATGCCTGTCCCCTACCCCATGTCCTTGCAGGGCAAGCAAAGGGCTGCCCGTGCCCCTTGACGATGCTCTGGGGTGCGGGGTCCGCTCCCGGGGGGCCCGGCTGTAACCGGAGCCCCGGAGCTGCCCGGCCGCGCCAGCCGTGCATTATTGATGAAGGCGGCCGGGAGGAGGGAGATGTCATCTGCTCCTCGTTAGAGCCCTTGCATCTTTGATGAGGTGCCGTGTAACCGGAGACGGCCCTCTGAGCGCGGCAGGTCCCATCAATCTCGGGCGAGCTTTCCCCTGGTGGCCCGGGTCTGGTTTAGTGCCCGGCGTGCTGGACCCGTGCCCAGGCCGGGCTCGGAGTGTGCTGCAGTCCCCAGGGCACCGGGGGAAGGGTGGGAGCTCCCAGCCCCCTCCTCCTGCTCCTCCTGCAGCCTCCCAGCTGGGTCTGGAGCTGCTGCTGCTGCTGCTGCTGCAGGGTGAGGGATTTTTCCAGCTGCAGGTGGAGCTCATGGGCCTCCTGGAAGCTCCGGTCGTCGCGGAGGGACCATCGCGGTCTTGCACCCAAAATTTCCCCACTAAAGCCTGTCCAGGGCTTGGATGAACAGCCCTGCCAGACACGGGAGCTGGGATGGGGAAAGCACAGAGCCCAGACCCATCCACAGGGAATGTAGGTGGAAAAAATCCAAAGCTCCAGCTGCTCAGGTGATCTCTGGGATAATTAACTCCCTCAGTTACGGGCAGAGCGAGGCTCTCCCGAGGCTCTGCTGAATGTGCAGCTCGGGCTGGCTGGCATCCTCCATCCCATGTTTTGGGAAAGGACTCTGGGCAGTGCCAACCCCTGCACCGCACCCAGGCACCCTCCAGGGCAGGGAAAAATCCCATTTTTGCACTGAACCAGGCTGGGTGATGGTCCCTGACTCCCCTGAACCCACCTGGGGTCCCCTCTCTGTGGGGCTCAGTGGTGGCAGGGGGGACATAACTGCATAACAACCCCTTCTGAGGGTTGGACTCCAGGGCTTCCTGCCAGCCTGTCCGCGTCACTCTGAGCAACACCCACCTCTCCAGTCCAGATCTCACCCATGTGGGGACACGGAGACCTCAGGAAGCCCTGTCCAAGGCTGAACCTGCCAGATCTGCCCTCACCCACACAGCCAGACCTCTCCCTGCACAGGCAATCAGGCTGCTCAGGCGTGATTTACCCTTGGCAGGTCCTTGCTGCTGTCCCGACCACCCTCCTCCTCTGGGACACGGCTTCCAGGAGCACATTCTCCATGTCCTTCCCAGGGATGGAGGTGACACAGCAGCCCACAGCGCCCCGGAGCCTCCTTTTGGGAGAGGAATGTGATGTTTGTCTCTTCCCAGGTGTCAGGACCTGCTGCAATCACCAGGACTTTTCAAAGAGGTGTTGGCCTGACCCCTCAGCACTCCCTGCTGCTCTGCATGCCCAGCTGGCCTAGATGCTCCCTAATCCAGGTGCAGAAGCTCTTCCCTGGCTCACGGCAGAGGAAATGTGTATTGCAGCTCTGCCAAGAGTGCTGCTCTGCTCCTCCCCCTGGCCCTGAAGGGTCTCTGTCCACGGCAGCAGCGTGTGCCCAGCTCCTCCTCGTGCTGCAGGAGAGGCGCTGCTGGGTGTTCTGTGCTCAGGACAGCGGTGGGAGAGCCCCTTCCAGAGTGTTGTTCCCTCCTCCCCACCTCCCCGTGCCTTCCCTGCTCTCCAGGCCATGGCAACCCTCCTGGCTGAACGCTCTCCAGCAGCTGGACTGTCCTGGAGGTTGGGTGTCCTGCCTCTCCTGGCTTTGGCAGATCCCGTCCTGGCCCAGGAGCCAGGATTCTCAGACACCAGAAAAGCCAGAGCCACCATGGGCTCACCCTGTGCCCCCAGCACCCTGCAGCCACTCCTGGTGTGCCCAGGCCCACCTGGCAGCATCACCAGGGCTGTGCTGATGGATGACAAGGTACCTGAGAGATGGCTGAACCTCCTTGTCCCTCTGCAGAACCCCAGGCAAGCCACAAACCTCCCAAAGCAGCACCTGGAGCTCCTACAGGATCTCATCCCGTGAGGATGCGAGGGGATGTGCCCCAGGCGGGCAGAGCCGGGCAAAGGACACCAGGGACGCATCCCACGAGCCTGTCTCATGTCCGGGGGCTCCCGGCAAGGCCATCTCCATGCTGTAATCGATCCCAGGGCCTTCCCGCCTGTGCCGGGGTCGGGGGCAGCCACCACGTGAGCCCACAGGGCAGGAGGCTGCGGGGATCCCCGCAGGTAAAGCCCCGGGACGGGCAGCAGGAGCCAGCGGAGCAGCTGGGAAGCACCTTTGGGGGTCTAACCCTGCCAGCCCTGGAATTGTGGGCAGAAAAACCCCCAGGCAGGCCGGACTGTGCATCTCCAGCATGGAGAAGTCCCCAGGGACCCTCGGGAGCCGCCGGGCATACGGCTGGGGCAGGGAAGCGTCTGCTTACCTTGATTTTCTGCACGGTGCAGCTTTCCTCCTGGCCCTGACTCCACACGGTCACGCCAGCCTTGTTGTACCGACAGTGCCAGCCCTCCAGGCTCTCGCACTGATCCCTGAAGGAGCTGAAGTCGGAGTCATCCGGGATATAAACCATCTCCCCTCCTCTGGACATGGGGCTGAGCTGCTGCCCCCGGGCGCGGGCACCGCCTGCGGGCAGCCTCCGCCTCCCCTCTGGAAACCCAGCTCTGCCCTTGAGCTCTGCCTCGCTGGGTGCCCGCTGCGGCTCACATCATCCTGCCAGCGCCCAGCCCGTGCCCCTGGAGCGGGCCCCGGGCAGCCGGGGTGGGCAGGAGCTGCAGGCAGCCCGGCCACGCC